AGCTCTAACACTTGGTAGCAGCTCAGGAATTTGTCCTTCCTTTGGATGGCTCAGTCCCCAGTACTCACCACCCCACTGGAAGACTTGGTCTTCAACTCCAACTTGACCATTCCAAATCCTGAAAACAAAAACAGCACACAGCACCTGTTTCACTGACAGATACAAGCAAGGTTTATTTCCAACACACCCAAAGAATGCCAGACAGGGGATTCTGAACTGACCTGAAAGAGTTTTTATGTTCCAACAGTGGTGGAACATACTGAGGGTTATGAGAAGGATGATTGAAGGAATTCTGACAACTCAAAGTAAGTTTTCTCATAATTTATATATATAATTTATAATCATAACAGACACCAACCATCAAATACCTCCACTCTCTGCAGCCACCTGCAGTCTGGCACCCATCAATACAATTAACCAACTCTTCTGATTTACTTAGTTTACATTTTATTCCTGATTTCAGGGCAGGAAATTTTTCTTCTCCTCTACTCAAAAAAATGTTTCAACTTATTTCAATCAGTGCCATGTACAGAAGTATTACTGATGGAAGGAGTTGTGACAACTCAAAGTAAGTTTTCTCATCATTTATATATCTAATTTTTAGTCATAACAGACACCAACCATCAAATACCTCCACTCTCTGCAGCCACCTGCAGTCTGGCACCCATCAATACAATTAACCAACTCTTCTGATTTACTCAGTTTATATTTTATTCCTGATCTCAGGGCAGGAAATTTTTCTTCTTCTCTACTCCAAAAAAAAGTTTCAACTTATTTCAATCAGTGCCATGTACAGAAGTATTACTGATGGAAGGAGTTATGAGAAGGATGAAGGAGTTATGAGAATGATGAGGTTATGAGAAGGATGATTGAAGGAATTCTGACAACTCAAAGTAAGTTTTCTCATCATTTATATATTTAATTTTTAGTCATAAGACACCAACCATCAAATACCTCCACTCTCTGCAGCCACCTGCAGTCTGGCACCCATCAATACAATTAACCAGTTCTTCTGATTTACTTAGTTTACATTTTATTCCTGATTTCAGGGCAGGAAATTTTTCTTCTCCTCTACTCCAAAAGAATATTTCAACTTATTTCAATCAGTGCCATATACAGAGGTGTTACTGCTTTTTTCCTTTCTGTCTGCTCTGAATCCAGGGAAATATCTGGCCCTTGCACCAAGTAGAAAAGCTTGAAGTAACTGACTTTAAATTAGGGAATTTGAGTTAATTTTCAGCAAAGCCTGAACTCCAGGGTGGGAGAGACCACAGTGCATTTTAGTTTTATGCAGCATATGGATTTGGGATACAAATGAAATGCACACAAACTCAGATTTTAAAAAAGTCCACATTTTCTAGGTACTGTTTCCAGAAAAGGGACAAATGCAAATACTGTGAAATTATCTGCATTCCAGCTTTAATATGAAGCTATTCTGATGAACATAAAGGTCAGTCTTCCTCAGGAACCTGTTACTGCCACATGTGGTCTCCTACAGCAATCTGCATCAGTGTTTCTGATTTAATGACTCTAAACAGAAAAATCAGAAGGTAACAAAAGGAGGCAGCATTTTCCAGTCTGTTCTGGAGGGCACATTAAGGTCCAACTTTTAATCTTCCCCTCAAACTCTCTGCCACTGCAGTACTATCACAACACAAGTGCAAAATTCAGAATCCAAAGGGGCTGGATGCTCCAGGGCTCTGCTGGGAAGGTTTCAGGGAATCTCTGAGGTAGCTGTGTTCTTACAGGCATTTTCAAGACACTGATAATCAAACCCATCCTTATCTCACTCACCATATCCCTTGTTGAAAACATCCCTGGCAGACTTTCCCAAGTCACTGTACGACGGTGGGCAAGCCATTGGATCTGAAACACATCATTTATAATCAAAATAAGGGAGCTGTAAGAACCTCAGCAAAAAATCTAAGATACATCCAAAGCATTAATTAACATCTATGATTAGCAGGCTCTGAGAATGTCACCAACACAGAACTGTCAGATCTTTGGAGAATGTTCATCAGAGTCATCGCTGCTGCTTTGTCCCAAACAAACTTTGAATCAAAGAATTTCTAAAAGCCAATCTTTATTTATAATCACTGAACCCCAGCTATTAAATTCCACTAAATGCTGGCCTCACAGTCTTACACTGCAAAAAGAACTCATGGGAGCCTCATGGCTGTTCTGAAAACGAGGAAATGTTGCTTTTGTGATAACTCCCATTGGGAAAGGGACCTGGAGTGGCAAACAACACCCACACTCAACAATTCCAAAGGAAAGCAGGTGTCACTTCCATCTGCACCTGCACTTCACAAAAAGCTCTTTCAGAGATGTGAAAAATATAAAAGAGATCTCTGTATGCTGTCCAGTAGCCATCAGTGAGTATTTCAGCACTGTGCACACAGAACAGCAAAAACTAAATTTCCTAATATTGTTACAACTACATGAGAACATAGCTCAAAAGGATGGGCATGTAATATTGCAGTGCAGATGATTTATTAGCTACCAAAATTTAGGGGTTTTGCATCAGAAAACCCACAGTAAAGAAGCAGGCAAAGTCTTTCCCAGTGGAAAATGAGTCTTCCTCTTTTCAAATAAGTTTGCATAAATCTAAAGGCACACCTGCTCCAAAAAAGGTATAAAAGATGCTCCATTCATTTGATTTTAAGGACAACTCTTTGTCATCCAAAAAGGTGACATTTAGGATTTCTGATGTTGGGTGTTGCAGAGAAAAACATGAACAAATGCATCAGCGGTAGGAATGGCAATCTCTTGTGTTTATACCTCATTTTAATAAGGCTATTGAGAAAAACTGTAAGCCTGTTCACTCTCTAACAGTATGCAGGTGTATGCTGTGTGCTCTGTGTGTTTGAATGTGTGCGTTAAATTTGATGCAAGCATTTAAATGGTATTAAAAAAAGAGAGATTCTCGAGGTTAGCCCATACTGAAACACATAAATTCTTTGCTAACAACAAGCAGTTCTACAACAGATTTGTCTGGAAGAATTGAGCTCGCTTTCACAACTCTTAATATTAAATCTGAATGGTAACAGGTGACGAAAAACAGCGTGAAGCGGGAAAAGCAACACCAGAACACCCGCATCGCTCTGTGGGGTAAGTGTAAAAAACCAAAACCAGCCAAAAACCAAACCGAACGATGAATCCCTGCACAAGCGCTGCCAACACGCGTGCGGGCGTTTCCCGTTCCCTGAGGGCTGCGGCGGGGCCCGGCCGCGAGCACCGCGCGCTCCTTTGGCGGCGGGGCCGGCGGGGCGGCGGCTGCGCGGCCCCGGGAGCGCGAGCGCCGCGCCCGCCGCGGCTCTGCCCGCGTTACGCAACGGGTAACGGAGCCTCGGCCGGCCCCGTGCCGGCGCCGGGGCAACACTCGCTGCCAGCCGCCTCATGAGTTCGTGCCTCCCGGCTGACACAGCCGGAGCAGCCGGCAAGAGCCCCGGCCGCGCGGTCTCAGACAGAGAGAACCGGCCGCGCATCCCGGGGCCGCCCCTTGGGCAGCGTGTGGGCCTGTGGGTGAGGAATTGCCGCCGCAGCGAGCGGCCGGCGCCCCGTCGGGCCTCCAGCAAGGGGACGCCCGCCTCCGCCTCGGTGAGGCGCAGAGGACAGCAGCGGGCTGCAGGCGGCCAGCGCCGCGAGGCCCGGCCCCACCCGGCCCGGCCCTGAGCCCCGCCGCGGCCCCGGCGCTACCTGCCGCCCGCGCTGCCTCCGGTACGGCTCTCGGCGCCCCCCCGTCCGCATGCGCGGCGCCGGCGCTGCGCACGCGCCCGGGCTGCGGCCCCGCCCACCCCCGCGTGGCCCCGCCCCGCCCCGCCCAGTGCGCGCGGCCGAGGCGCGGCGGGAGCGCGCCCGGGGCTGCCGCAAGCGGAGCCGGCGCCGCCGGTACCGAGCGGCGCTTCCAGGGATGGAGGAGACCTGCGGTGTTCAGTGCCTGCCAGAGCCGGTATGAGACTCCAGCGGGCACTAACGGTCCTCTCAAACCCTTCACTCACTGGGAAAAATGAGTATTTTATGATTGGCTATATAAAATATAATATATATATAATACAGCATAATATATATAATACATAGTATATAAAATATTATATATAACATATACTATATATTATATACAATATTATGTATATATATAATATATATAATATATATGTTTATATATAATGTATATATGAGTATATATAATATATATGTATATATATAATACAGCATAATATATATAATATATAAAATACATAGAATAGAAAATATTATATATAATATATACAATATCTATTATATATAATAGATATTATATACAGTATTATGTATATATATAATATATATGTATATATTATATATATGTATATAGATGTGTATATATAGTATATAATACACACAATATTATGTATATGTCATATATATAATATATATGATATATGATAGATATATATAATATATGATATATTTATATGATATATGATAGATATTATAGATAATATATTATATAATATATTATATCTATTATATATATTACATAATAGATATAATATTATATTATGTAATTATATAATATTATATATATAACAGATATAATGCAGCATAACTTTATATATATAAAATATATATAATACAGCATAACTTACATAACACATGTGTTATAAAGTTATACAGTACTAGTTTTCTCAAGTAGTGTTTTAAACAGTTTTAGGTTATAAACAATGTAAAAACAGAAATTATGATTATACTATGTAATATACTCTATTTTATAGCAAGGACTCAGCCTGTCAGAGCTGGTGTGAGACTCCAGCAGGCACTAAAGGTGCTCTCAAACCCCTCACCCACTGTGAAAAATGAGCATTTTATGATTGGCTTTTTGCAAATATTAAGATGAATATTGTATGTGTTACGTTTCTGTGCCCAGGAAACATTTGTGAACATGGTAAACATGTGTTCCTACCTTTTGATCTTCTAAAATGACACCAAATAAAATAATAATAAAACACCACTACACATTCATGATGGACTATTCAATTTGTTTATTCCCACTGATAACTGAAGAAAATACTAAATATATCAGCTATGTATATATTTTTACAAGGAGGCATCAAAATACTTTACATAGCACCAAGTTCACTTCTAGTTTTCTTCCATACCATGCATGCATTAGCACTGGGGAACATTCCCAGAAAATCATTAAAACTCCTGACAAGAAAAATGGAAGAAATTAAATAGGTGAGAGCATCAGCCTGTAATGTCCATTACTAAGATTGATCAACTTTCCTTGTATAAGTTGAAAATGAAATTGTTCTGCAGGCTTAAATTAAATGAAAATAAGATAAATTATTCAAATACAGCAGCAGCAATACTGCTCATGCTGTGTATTTCATGGAAGTAGTTACTAATTAGCATTTTTTTAAGTTAAACAACAGAATCCCTGTCCCAATCACAACCAGTAATGCATTATTGAAGAGAACTTTTCTCACATCCAAAACACTCATTATTTATACTCATCCATAATACTCAATATTTAAAGGGGAGGTGTAAAATAAGATTTGACAGGTTTGCATATAAAAAAGGGCAGATTGAATCTACAGGAGTGGTAGCAATGCATAAATTAATCAGACCAAACCCAAAGAAACACAGAGCACTGCAATCAATATTACAACATGTCTAGGAATAAATTCCCATGTAACAGGAGAATGGCCACCTTAGCATGGAGTGCATTTTGAGATTTTAAAGGATAAACTCATCATGAGCTTCAGCACTGCCCCAAGACATTAACAGGGGTGTGAGGAGATACAGAGAATAGTTAAAAATGGTATTTATTTTGTAGGAGTGTTTCATGATACTCAGCATTTTTTCATTCTGGTACCTACATAAATAGAAGATACAAAGAGAGATGCTGATGCCCCATCCCTGGAAACATTCAAGATTGGACTCTAAGCAATCCTCTCTGGTCAAAAATGGGACTCTAAGCAATCCTCTCTAGTCAAAAATGGGAGTGTAAGCAATCCTATCTAGTCAAAGATGGGGCTCTAAGCAATCTTCTCTAGTCAAAGAACCCCTGTTCATGGCAGGGGGACTGGGCAAAATGACATTTAAGGGTCCCTTCCAACCCAAATTATTCTGTGACTACACAAAAGTGGAATCTCATGGGATTTATCTTCACGACATCCTGGTCTGTTCAAGTGCCATGGATGTGCTTTAGACATCAGCAATACAGTTTTTCAAGTAACATTCAAGGTAAGACTGTGCACTTCCACACCTTTGTAAAAAGCTGTGGAAATATCTTTAAGCTCTAAACCCAGACGAGCAGTTTGTTATTCACTCCGGTCCTTTGGCTCTCGGTATTTCCACTGGATATAATCAAAAATGTCTTTTTCACATTCCACTGGCAGGGCCTCTCCAGCAACTCCTGCAAGGAAATTACACAGAATATTTGAAAGGTGGAAAAGTCTGTACCATTCAGAAATGCCAAATGCATGGCAAGATTAAGACAAAACTGGTACAAAAAACCTGAAGAAACCGCCCAGAAAAAAAATTCATTGTGTTTACATGCTGATTCTTATTAATATCAAAGGAAATAATGAATTAACTTTAGGCCATGTGGTTATGCAGGTAAATAAATTTATAATTTTGTGTAGGTTTTATATAATGACCTCTCCTCCAAAGCAAAGCAACTGAAGGACATGACACACCCTGTGAGAAGAGGAGGAAACCAAATATGTGCTGTGCACAGCACAGAAAAAAATAAATCTTTAAATCACTAAGACTTTAAGTAGCTTAGGAGGCCCAAAGAGATAACCTTGTGTAAGCAGGCTGCACCTTCTTGCTGTAATGGTGCCCAAAATCAAAAAGGACACTGTGAAAAATTCCACAAAATATTGCATTTATCAGAAGTATTTCCAAAAAATAATTGCAACCAATTGAAGGGCACCACACAAAGTGCATAACTTGGAAAGTAGGAAGAGTGGAAAGGGTGGAAAGGGTGGAAAGGAGTGGAAAGGAGTGGAAAGGAGTGGAAAGGAAAGGAGTAGGAAGAGTAGGAGGAGTAGAAAGGAGTAGAGAGGAGTAGGAAGAAGTAGGAAGGAGTAGGAAGATAGGAAGGAAGAGTAGGAAGAGAAGAAGGAGTAGGAAGAGTAGGAGGAGTAGAAAGAGTAGAAAGAAAGAGTAGAAAGGGTAGGAAGAGTAGAAAGGAGTAGGAAGAGTAGGAAGGGTAGAAAGGGTAGAAAGGAGTAGGAAGGAGTAGGAAGGAGTAGGAAGGAGTAGGAAGGAGTAGGAAGAGAAGAAGGAGTAGGAAGAGTAGGAGGAGTAGAAAGAGTAGAAAGGAAGGGTAGGAAGAGTAGAAAGGAGTAGGAAGGGTAGAAAGGAGTAGAAAGGAGTAGGAAGGAGTAGGAAGAGTAGGAGGAGTAGAAAGAGTAGAAAGAGTAGAAAGGAAGGGTAGGAAGAGTAGAAAGGAGTAGGAAGAGTAGAAGGAGTAGAAAGGAGTAAAAGGAGTAGGAAGGAGTAGGAAGAGAAGAAGGAGTAGGAAGAGTAGGAGGAGTAGAAAGAGTAGAAAGAGTAGGAAGAGTAGAAAGAAAGAGTAGGAAGGGTAGGAAGAGTAGAACGGAGTAGAAAGAGAAGAAAGAGTAGAAAGGAGTAGGAAGGAGTAGGAAGGAGTAGGAAGGGTAGGAAGGGTAGGAAGGGTAGAAAGGAGTAGAAAGGAGTAAAAGGAGTAGGAAGAGTAGGAAGAGAAGAAGGAGTAGGAAGAGTAGAAAGGAGTAGAAAGAGTAGGAAGGAGTAGGAAGGAGTAGAAGGAGTAGAAATATTAGAAAGAGTAGAAAGAAAGAGTACAAAGGGTAGGAAGAGTAGGAAGGGTAGAAAGAGTAGGGAGAGTAGGGAGAGGAGAAAGGAGCAGAAAGGAGCAGAAAGGAGCAGAAAGGAGCAGAAAGGAGCAGGAAGGAGCAGAAAGGAGCAGAAAGGAGCAGGAAGGATGCTCTGTGCAGGAACTCAGACTGACCAGTCACTCCCAGGCGGCGGATTGTGTACTCATTGATGGTGAATCCCATCTCCAGAGCATGAGCTCTCATGTTCTTATTGAATATATCACTGCCTGTGAAATACAGCACTCCACAGTAATACTGATCTTTTGGGATAAGCCTGGAAGAAAAAGGAAAAGGGAAGACTTAGAACAAATATAATTTAAAATTCAGTATTCAGACATGTGTAGGTTTACTCTGTGCTCATGTGTGTACATTCTGCAGCTCTGTACATTTAATTTTCCCACAAACCAGATGCAAAAATGAAGGGAACTGCATATAAAAGGAAGGTTCAGCATATCTACCCTTCCCCAGAAGTTACTGGTGTAACTACCTGGTTATGGTGCTTGCACTCCTGCACAGAATCAGTGTCAAAGCAGGATGATAAAACAGGACACAATTCTGATATTCTATCAGAATATCATGATTTGAAGCACAGCATTATTGCTGATAACCTGCTGTAATTACTGCAGCTGTCCAGTGGCTGCCACATTTCAAAGGCATTAGAAAAATATCAAATGGCCATGTTATGAGCACAGAAGTAGATATTTGAATGAAAATTTTATGCAAATGCCTCCTGTGTAGCAGAGAGCTGAACCAGGAGGATTTTGATCATGTACCTGATGTCAATCCTGCGGTGTGGATGAGCTGTTCCATCCCCTCTATCTGGCAGCTGGCACACTCCCTGGCAGGAAATAAGGCAAACAACAAATTCAGATGAAATTCAACAGATCTGAGAACCATCTTTACCTCCCCACCCCTAAACAACCTCTAAACAATCCTGGAAAGCAAAGTTAAATCCCTGCTGAATTGAATAAGCAATTCAGCAAATAAATATTTTTAAAATAAATATTTTAATATTTTAAATAAATATTTTAGTGGAACAGCCAGATATCAGAATACAGCAAATCACTATTTTACACTGTTGTGAGAACTGTTCAGTGTAAATATAACTGCTGCTTAAATTTTTATTGCACCAGGAAAAATCCTCATTTCCTGTCATTATTATCAGGCTTTTCAGTATATACAAATATCAGCAGGTTAAGAAAAGAGAAAAAGCCCTGCACTGTCAGCATGGGATCTAAAAAATTAAAGTTTTTGTAATTAATTACTTGTTTTAGGCATCTCACATAATCTCTATTACATCCTAAATCTAGGATATAATAATAATCTAGCTTATCCATTAAATCTGACACAAAAAGAGACAAAAGTATATTGTGTATTAACAAAAATCAGGAAAACACAGTTCTGAGATCAAAGCTAAATATTTCCAAGATCCTGAGGACACAATTACAGAAATGGTCACTGTGCAACTGAAGAAGTGAAGTTGTGCTGAGATCCCAGGATAAAATTGACATTATGTGATGAAGGTTGTGTCAGCAGGGTGCAGAAATACACAAATATCTGTGTATTTACTGTCTAATAAACACTGTGTATTTATATAATAATAATACTGTGTATTAAACTTTCTAATACTGAAATCTCACCATAGGAGTTACCTGCAGGAAATTCTTAAGAGTTTAAAAAACAAACCCACATCACCCCCAGCTCCAGCAGCACAAGCAATTGGATTTATCCTGACTTCTGTCAGGAAAATAAATCCCCCCACAACATCCTGCACCACCACAAAAGCTCTTACCATGAATTTGGTGTCCCCTTTAGACAGCACATCTGTGATAAAATGGACTTTTTCCAGCTGTTCTACAACTTTATGCAAAAGTTTTGACTGGGAATAATGGTAACAAAGAAGAAGAAATTACTTGACAAATAACAAGAATATCTTACCTACATTTACTAGACAGAGGCTCCTATATGTACAGGATATCATTATAACTATATGTACTATTCTACATGAAATTTGACCCAAATGGAAAAAAAATGTAATAAAAATAATGGGAAAAAGCTGATAAAATTACAGTTGTGCAAGATAAAAACAATTTCCACCAATATTGAGATTGCCTTTCGTTGGAAATGACAAATCTAATTCAGCTTTTAAACAACAAATCTATAGAAGGAACATAAGAAAAAAAATAAACAACACTGTCATTAATACCATTTCAGAGTTGGTGCCAAAAGATTTCAAGGGCAGCAGGACAGTTTCCCATCAGCTAAATGATTTTGGCTACATAAAGAAATAATCAATCTACCATGAATTCAGCCAGATTTACAGTTCTGCATTGTTAAAGCACAGGAATTCAAGGAGTGGGGGAATATGTGGGACAGGAAGGAGAGAAGGATAAAAATAAACATATTGACTAATTCTGCAAGAGAAACACAACATAATACACAAACCTGAGAAAGAATTATAACTCCTCAAAATAAACAGGGCATTCCAAGGGAAAATTTCAATATTTTAGTAAATATAAAACCACAAAAAGCTGCAATACAAGCCTGAGACTGTAAGCAATGTACAGCTGTGATCTGTGGCATCTGAGAAAAGCACCTGTTTGGTTGATTCTGATGTGAAACTGGGATGGGTCAGGAGAACATCCATGTCACCACTTGACTCTGCACCTGGGCAAGAAAGAAGCAAAGAAAAATTCAATATACTCATATTGCTGAACATACATCTTACCTCTTGTAAACATGGCTTTCTAGCAGGGAATGGTCACTATTAGAGATATGAGCAAAACAAAAAATAATCTTAAAGTAAAAGAATTTTGTTCTTTCATCAAAAGTTTATATTCTCCATACACAAAATATCCAAGAATTTCTTGCTGTACTCTATAGCAATGAAGTAAAAACAAAGCAAACAATTCATGTTACAAGATATTGCTCTTTATGGGGGAAGGATGGAGAAGGAAGAATTTATTCTGGTGTCTCATCACTGAACTAGCTAGACAAGACAAAACCAACAGGAAAGGCCAGGTTCCAGCACAGTCTGTCAAGAAAAATAACACACACAGTAATTTGTCTTGTTGTTATCCCAAAATAAAGAAAACAAGATCACAGAGTACCAACCTCGCCTAAAACTGCCACACACTGTAGCAATGTAGCTTGGGTCCAGTTTCTCTATCTCTTTGAGCACAATTTCCTATGTGAAAAGGAAAGAAAAGTGTTTAGAGGTGGCCAGTCATTCACTGGCCATCAGTACAGCACATTCCCAACAATGAGATTTTTACCTGCATTTGCAGCATTTCTTCCCTCGGGATTCTCTTCTCAAAATCTTCAAAGTATCTGCAAATATAAAAATAGAGGTATCTGAAAGAGTGGTAGGGGCAGCATCTTAAAATTTTAGTCAATTAAATGTATATCAGAGGAAAGAATATTAACTTACACTACTGTCACATCACAAAATGCTCCTCTCATTAAACATCTTAGAAATCTTGGAAGGTGACAGTAAAAACTCACAGCTGTGGGTTTGACAATGCTCAGAACGTGGTTTCAGTATTTCCACTGCACACAAAGAGCTGCTGTGAGGTGGGAGAGGTATTACCAGATAAATAAATGCTTAATGTTTACAAGCCCTCTGAAAATACAAAATACAAAAGACTCAGCCCACCAGGGAGCAGGTTCCCCACCCAGGGTCAGAGCTGGAAGGAGATAAATGGAAGCTCTCAACTCAAATACAGCTCCAGATATATTTGCTTCCATATATTCCATATATTGTAAAACTCAAATTGTCAGCAAGCTGCTTGGCTGTGGAGAAAAAGAGGGCAAGTGAAACACTTTTGGTTTTATTTGGTTCACTTGCAGCTTCTGACAAACCCAGCTATAGTTTCTCCAAAACCACCACAGCCAAGACACTCAACAAACAGCACTGAAGCTGATGAATGGTGAGGGACAAACACAACATTCTCAAGTTCAGACATGCAAAGGTTACCTTGTTCACAGCACAGAAAAAACCAGCCTGGGCCACTTTTATGCAGATTGTGAAGAAACAACTCCACAACCTCACTAATGTGATTCTCCATGAGCTAACTGAGGAAGTCACTTGATATGAACTTCCCAAGCCTTCCATCCCAAATGAAACAAAAGCTCTAAATAAGCTGAAAGGCAGAATGTAGAGCACAGAGAGACCCTTACTCAGCCTGTGTAAGCTCACATT